CCACTGTTCTGTTCACTTGAATGCTCTAATTACATCCTCTGGGTATATGGATTTAATAACATACTTATTTAAAGTGGAAAAGACCTGGGCTGTCATTTCTGTAATTCTCTGTAGTGACACCTACATTTTCTCTTTTCCTTTCTGCCTTATCCTTTCCCATCCCTGCCATACAAATATTCATGGTTTCTTTAAATCACATTTAATTAAGGAGTTTCTTTCCTTGCTCTTTTCCCTCTGTTGTCTCATGTCAGTAGCAAGTTAATCCTGAATTTCTAATAAATGCAAATGCATTAAAGAAAATTATGAGTTCAAGATTCTTTTAACTTCACCGGCATAATTGTTAATATCTCCATTTTCTCCTGGGATATATAGGATAATATCAATTAAATTGGTCTCTGTAACTGAATGCATTAACCATAAATGTGACTATTGTGTCTTCACTAGCACCCTTTAGGTATTTAATTTACTTGCCTGTAATAGATTGTCAGAGCTGTAAATGTGGGGCAAGCAATGTAAACGGTGTAATGATGGTAATTATCCAAACAGATCGAAGGTAGTGTTATTGCAATGTGATATTGTGGGTAGGAGCAAGATATAGACAACCCATATAAAGTCCCATTTCAGCTTTATTTCCTTACCCATTTTTTCCATGACATTTAAAGTGGAAACAATGTAAACTAGCATTGCGTTCCTTTCCTTTATCTCTCCCCATTATCCTCTGTGTCATTGCCTTACTAAAACCAGCAGACTTTGCAAAAGCTAAATTTCTCCTTAAGAAGCAGTGGATTTATGGAAGCAAAATTCCAGTATTTTCCCTGCATATCATGGTATCCATATGCGTGAACCAGAAGTCACTTTCTAGATTGGTGAGTTTGTTCCTTTCATATATTAGCTAAAGAACTGTAAACCCTGCAAGGTTGAATGACTTGTTGAAGGTTACGCAACCTGGTATTGCCATGTAAACTTCAATGGAACAGAACTGGAACCTGGAACCAGCCTTCCCACGTGGGCTGAGTAAGGCAATGAGAGGTTATACCAGCTGCAAGTACAGAAGAGGTTCAATGTGACTGGCTGAAGCAATCCTGGAGGGAGACAACAACAAGTCAGAAAGCCTTTCAGTTTAGTTTGGGTGTGGAGTAGAGAAGAAGCAGGCTATGCATAACCCATACTTTAAAGGTTCAAACAGACAATCAGGGTGAGGGTAGAAGGATCAGATTGTGTGGCAGACGTCCGTCCATAATAGAATCTCCTTAGGGACAGGAATGTTGGGGATATTGCTGAAACAGGGATTTGAGCCCAGAGAGAGGAGGTCAAAGCCAAGGATTAGAACTGAAACCTGAAGAAGAAACAGAGTCTGAATCCTGGGACTCAGACTCTGAACAAGGTCAAGAGGATCGAATGGCAAGGGATCTTCCAGATTTTCCCTCCGCATTTTACCTCAATTCTTGTGCCCCATCCCAGTTCAATCACTTCACCTGAGTTGCGTCGCTAAGTAACAAACTAGCAAATCGGCCTAAATCTGAAACTTATAATACATCTTCAAAAAATAAAAATAAAACATTCAAATCATGAGGAACACAAACAACACCACACATAACCCACGCCATCTCCGTTACCAGAAAACAGAACACTAGAACTTCAGATTCCTGTCAGTGGAAAGATAAATTGCCAAATACCCACAGAACTGTGGCTTTAAGTTTGTGTGCCTTAGGAGGGTGGCAGCAGAGGGTATGAGGAAAGACTCCCAGGATGCGAAGGTCCCACAGCACATGCTCAGTACCGACCACAGATGGAGACTGCTGGCTCCCAGTGTGGCTTTGGGCAGGGCCTGCAAGTGTGTGGGGCCCGAGGTGGCTGTGTCAGAGAGGCAGTGTTTCTGGGGAGAAGGAAGCAAAGAGAAAAGGGAGGTGCCATTTGGAAACATAGTTGTGAAGGGGAAAAGGAAGACGGAAAATATTAAGATGCTATAGAAATAAAAGGAAAGTATAAGTATCCTCCCCAGTCGTCATCCATTAAAGAGGCTAAAACAAGGATATGGGGCCTACTGAAATTATAGTACATGACCATGATATGCTCTGATAAAGTAGAAAGAATGCAACTGGAGAGTGAGTGGAAAAAGAGAGAGGGAAAAGTTGATTGTTGCATATGTCATAGGAGAGAGTCAAGGGACATGATTTTAACTAGATAGTAACAAATAAAGTAAGACAAAAAAAAAATAATGAACAGTGTTAAAGAACCTGCAAGATGTGGATGTGTGTAGGGTAGAGAGGGTGGAGGGGTTACCTCACTGAGTGTACCTTTTAGTATCGTAGTGATTTTTGCAATCATTCTGATGTTTTTCCATGTTCAAAAAATGAAATGCAATGAACAAGAAGAGATTAAATTTGAATACTATCAGAAACAAATAAAGGGAACTGAATTCCAAATGAACAGTATAACCACACTAACGTTGGGAGAATACTAATCTAGTAACTTTTAAACACAGTATTTTTGCTATATACCTGCATTCTAAAAAAGAAAAAGGTTGTGAATTCTTCTTAATACTACATTTTATAGTGTTAAAATTTTATATCCAGTTTAGGATTGAAGAAATGAGTTTGATATTGGCAGCCCATGCTCTAGGAAAAAATAAATAGGAAAAGAGCAAAAAGAACTCTTTGTCCTATGGAGATGGAGAGGATGTGTGTGTGTGTGTGTGTGTGTGTGTGTGTGTGTGTGTGTGTGCATGTAGGAAGGAAGGGAGAGAGGGACAGAGGGATTCTTCCATTGAAAGGGACTAGAGGCAATGACTCCTCCATAGCAACTGGCACACATTAACTTCAAAATCTTAGTTTCCAAATGTCATACCCAAAGAAAAAGGAAGCAGTTTCCTTGAGGAAATAGTCAATTTTAGGGGTGGGACAGGGAAAAAGCAAATGAACCTGAAACATTTCTGTATGCCAAAAAAGGAAGAAAGTAGTTTTTAGATTATGGAAGCAGGTCAAAAGGACACAGCATAAAGGGTCCACCTTCCCAAAGCTAGGACAGTTTGATCATCAAAACTAACACTAAAAACAGTAATTTATAGCCCTTTCAATAATATAAAAATCCATGTATTCTAACTGATAATTGGGAAGAACACTCAAAAATATAGAGAAATGGTAGAAATCATCACTTGCAAACAGATTAATCACTGATTCAGGGAAGACTCATTGATGGTTTCTAAAATAAATAGATGAAGGTTTGATAAGGAATAAGATATTTTCATCATCTCAAGTAGTGGAGAAATTTGGTAGGTCCCACCTTAACCAAGTGATTAAAGTTAACTTGTCCAATAAATAGGACACAGGAACATCGTATGATTCTGATGTGATGCACTGAGAAGGACCCAGCATCACTTCTGTGCTATTCCTGCCAGGTGTGCATGAGGAAAGTTGAAACAAATCCAAATTAAGGAACATTCCAGAAAATAAGTGGCCTCTACTTTGTGAAAAAAGGAGGGATGGAGGGAAAGAAGGAGGGAGGGAGTGAAGGAAGGGAGTGGGGAGTGAGAGAGGGAGGGAGGAAGGAAGGAAGAGAAAGGTTAGTCAACAAACAGCATGAAACACAAAACAACTATTCCAGTTTAAAGGATCCTGGATGAAGGGCCAATAGATGCAATGCAGGATCCTAGATAGGAATCTGGAATGACATTATGGGGACAGTGGATGAAACTGGAATAAGGACTGTAGGTTAGGTTATGGTATTGTATTAATGTTATATTCCCTGAATTCAAAAACTAACCTGTGGTTTTAAAGAGAATATCTTTATTATTAGGAAATACACAGAAGTATTTAAGTATAAAGAGCAGCATGTCTGCAACTTACCCTCAGGTTGCAGGGAAAAAAAACTGAAAGAGAAAGAGAATGATATAGAAAATGTAACAAAATGTTAACAATTGATGAATCTGAGAAAAGGGTGGCAGTTCATACTACTCTTGAAAATCATCTGTAAGTTTGAAATTATATCCAAATGAATTTGTTAAATAACTGAAGGGAAGAAACTATAAAGGAAAATGTTGATCTATGTACCACCTAAAAAGTATACCATAATTTTGAAAGAACTGTTTCAGAGCTCTATGCTGTCCCCACACCCACACAAAGGTCAAGGAGGGTTGTAGGGAAGGGGCTGGCAGAGCCGTTTTTGCTTCAGGGAGTGAGGGGTTGCAGCCATGAGAAGGGTTAACTTGCACAGCTCAGAATTCAGGCAGAAGTAGACTCAGGTCACCAGATGCAGAGGGCAGTTCTTATGCTACCATGTCATGTTCCTCCTACAATCTGCTATGCTTATTCTAATTACTTTTTTCCCTGATTATTCCATGTAGAAACCTACTGACCATATTCAACTTAGTATCTTATAGAAATTAATATAGCATTCGGATACCCACATGATACCCACGTAGCTCTGAGGAGCAGAGAAGCAGTAATTCTAAAACAAGAGAGATGAGGAGAAAGACTCTTAAGTATAATTTAATTCTCAAATTCCTCATTATAGTCTTACGTTCAAAAGTCATTGATTCACCAGAAATGCACTATATTCAGTTTGCACTTGGAGGTCTGCTTTTGTGACTTTATCTGAGATCCTTTTCTATGGCCTAAACAAATATTGGATTGTAAAGCCGTGACAGGTATTAATGAAGTGGATTGAAGCATTTCTTATATTTATATTTTCATAGTATGAAATAAACAGTGTAATCTTTTTATAAAACACTCTCACATCAGGCCATGATTTGATTCCCTACCTGTTCAGAATATCAAGTTTCACATTTCTTTAAATGGTAATGTATTTTTGTGAAGCAAGATGGTAAGACAGAAGTCATCCTGGAGATATTTATAATAGTACTTAGAGCAGACTTGTCAAAGGCTCTTCTCAAAGGTTGTTTTGGATCCTGAGGAGGTATATTTAGTAACTGTATTGAATATGTTGTCACATAATACAACATTTCATTGATTTATTTGTATTATTTTTGTATCTTCCTGCAGGCAGAGAATTCAGCATTGGCTTTGGAAAATGAAAGTCAAAGGGAACAGTATGAGAGGTGCCTCGATGAGGTAGGTGGAATGGAGAGCCCCTTCACGAGCGGCCGCACTGTTTAGAATTTCCTTAGATGTGAATATATGTTCATCACCAGGCTCCACAGGACAGGAGCGTTTTGTTCTCCAAAGCAAGGTTGTGAACAGGTGCACATTGAGAAGGAAGGTCACTCTCTCTCTCCCTAGTCCATTACACAGGCTTCTGTAACTTCCTTTCGGTTAGTGCTTAATGTTCTTGGGGCACGGTTGGGGTAGGCTTCACTGTGTGATGAATTCCTCTGTCCAGCAGGCATGGCCTCCTTGCCTGTGAGTGCAGCCACGCCAGGGCATGCTGAGTCTCGTTTGCGACAGGATGCCATTTCTGAAAAAACTAAACCTGACAGGGTGGGTGGGGTGATGTGCACAGTTGTCAGCCAGAAGGAAAAATCAGTATGTTGGCAATAAGCCAGAAAGAGAAAGGGAAGAGAGGAAGAAAATTTGAGCAGAGTGGGAGAAGACGGGGCCCACACATGAGTAAACTTGAGAAATATTATTCGATGATAATAAAGAGATAAAGGCAACGATGGTGGGTGTTTCAGAACTCCTGAGAGGTGTGGGGAAAACTCTCCCCTCAACCGTTCCCCACTCACCCTCGTCAGGGAGTGTGCTATCAGCCTGGATGGGATGGTCCAGCCGGGACTGGCTGTTCATCTCATTGACAAGCTCTCATCTGACACTTTGTTGGTGATTGGAGTTATGAATTTAATGGGGTGACGTTTTTAGTTGTCTGCCCAGGAGTCTAAGACTTGTACATATTCTTCTAGTAGATTCAGTTTGAGAGTTGTTACAATATAACTGACACACACTTTAAGAAAATAAGAAAACTACGTTTAATTGCCTTACCAGTGGAAACTATCTTCAGTCTTTTTTTCCTCACTAAGAATTGAGAAAACCTATTCCAACAAACTCCTCTTGATCTTTCTTACCTCTCTCCTTCCCCTGACAGTGCCCCCCGCCAGTGTCCCATCAGGTGACGGGTTGCACAGGCTGAGATCCCAGTTCTGACACAACCACCATCACCGTATACCTCCCTTCAAACTGGAGATGGCCTCCCTCCTCAGAGTTCCAGTTGTGTTGGGCATTTTCCTGCACCAGTGATTCTTGAAAGGGCATCCCTGGGCCAGCAGCATTGACCTCTCTTGGGAACTTGTTAGAAATGCAAATTCTCAGGCCCCACCCCAGACCTATATAATTAGAGACCCTGGGAGTGGGCCCAGCAGGTGATCTGTGCGTCAGCAAGCCCTCCAGGTGATGCTGAAACACCCCTGAGATTTGAGAGCCTCTGTCCTCCTGGAACAGACCACTTTGCATTATACTTACTATATGTGGTGAAGAACCCTCAATTTGTCCCCAGAAAAAATTTTAACTGTGCAATATTTAATATTTCAATTGTTTAATATGTCTAGCCATATATATCAGTTACTCAAAATGGTATCTGCATTTCTTTCTGCCCTGTCCAGACTTTAAAAGGCTCAACAGTTTTTACAATGTCCAAAGTTAAAGTAGCTGACATGAAATGGAAAATGATGACTCAGAGTCTAGTGAGACCAGCCTGGCACTTCCCACCCCTGCTCCCCAGGTTCTTGGTCCAATCAGAGTTTAGAGCAAGAAAGACCAAATAGATCCAAGAATATTTAAAGGAACAAATACTGCCTGTGAATCAAATGTATTGATCATCAAAGTTTTACTTTAACCTCATGCATAGAAATTTCCAATGAGACTTAATCTGTATTTAGAATTCAAATTTATATGAATCTCATCACAGTAATGTCTTATTACTTATTACTTGTCACAATTCTCCTACAAGTCACCCCCCCATCAATCAAAACGCTCACAGCATTTCTTTAAAAAAAATTGTATTCTATTTTCCTCATGTTTCCTATGCCTTCATTCTGAAGATTTCATCCGAATTATGTTGGGCGGAACATAAATTTTTGCCCACAAAATCATTTCATATGAAGTTTCCACTGAAGACAGAATTTTCTAGATGGAGTGTCCCTTTGTTCTTAATTGCAAACATTAACGGCTGCCAAAAAGGTAATTCACAACAAAGAAGCACTTTTGAGCAATACAAATGTTTTGTATTCATGAATACTGACTCCTGATTGCACGTGCCAGTTGTTTTGTAATATTGCATGAGAGTAGACAATCTGTTTCCATGCGTTGTAAGAGAATACTCTCAAAGTGATACTTGAATGTAGTAATAATGCCAACTGGAAATTCTTTTCAAGGTTTTTTATACTAATTAGACAAACTAACAAGGTAAGTTCTTGTGTAAGTTATTTCCTTGCTAGTAGGTTTCAGAAAACATACACAGATGGATAAAATATAAATTTAAAATATTCTCCAGTCCCTTTTGAACTGCTTATTATTTTCTGGGAAATGAAGAACATTGAGAATTTGGGGTAAACACTTGATAGTCAGAAATTCCCTCTGTGTGTTCTAATGAAAGGGTATGTTTGTTCAGAAGGAAAAAGCCCCACATCCATGATACTCACAAACACACGCACATGCTTGCTAGGCAGGTACATGCACACAAATGCACACACAGGAGCATGCACATGCTTCACCACTTCATCATCACCTCTACTGCTACTTAGTTCCTCATCACCTTGGCTTGCCTCACAAAGGCAAAACCAAGGACTGATCTTGATTTTCCTTGGGGGAATCAGATTTTAATGTTAAAAATCCAATGTCTTTGTCTAGCTCTTTGACAGACAAATTTACTGGCAAGCACTGAACTGGTGTTTATTTTCAGTATTGCTTTGACCAGTTCCTTTAGGACCAATTCATTCTCATGTAAAATGTCATGACACATATGAAATAAGTAAAATAGCTTCTCCTTCAAGCTGCTGCCTCTCATTTAGGTGGATTCAGTTGCATCCTATAAATCTTTATTGGGAGTCAACCTCACCCAGACCTTAGGAACTCAAGGTGCCTCCAGGCTAGCAGAAGTGAGGGGGATGGATAATCACAGAGGAATGATGTGAAGGGAACTCACAGGGGGAATGGGGTGCATTGGGAACTTAGAGAACACACAGCACAGTCACCAAAGGATGGGAGGAGCAGTGGGTGGGTGGGCAGGTGGTGGAGGGCAGAGCTGAAAGGGATCTTTAGCAGAAGAAGCTGGAAGTTTGAGTTCTAGAAGAGCATGTGGCTCTTGCCCTTACTTGCCCATTGGGCCTCCCTGTGGAGATTTAAAAATACTGCCACCGGGGCCTCACCTCAGGGACTGATCTGATCCTGGCCTAGGGATCAGCCTGAAAGTTAGAGCTTTTATAGAACCCTGGGGGTTATAATCTTTCAGCCACAATTAGAACCACAACCCTTAAGATCTTTGAATGCTGTGCCCAAGAGAGCATTTTTAGAAAGTTTTCATGCATGAAAGCTTCATTAAACTTGAATGATAGCAGAACAACAGAGCCACGTGGAAACTGTGGGTTATTTACCATTCCTCAACCATGTCTGAGTAAGCAAACATAAACGCCATCTCAGTGTTTCTCAAAGTGCATTTCTGGGTCCCTTCAGTGTCAGGACGATGTGTGGCAATTGCTACAAGTACAGATTCTCAGACCTCACTCAGCCCTTCTTAAGCAGAAGGAGGGGTGAGAGAATTGACAATGTTACCCAACTTCTCAGGGGAGGCTTTTGCACAGAGAAGTTGGAGAACCCGCCTCCCTTCACACCATCCGAGTTGGCCAGGGTTCTGTACCATCAGTGAGGAAGCCGTATGGAGTTATTCCTGACTTCTCTATTCTCTACACTTCAGAGCACAAGGCCAGGGGAAACCAGACCTTTGGATGTAGTTCAGAAAAAGAGAAAAGCATTAGAATTTCTTTTAAACCAACGCTAAAAAAAGGCAGAAGTAAGTTGCTAAGAATAGTTGTTAACTTCTCTGATTCCTATCCCATATGTGACACCAAGACTGGATTGTGGGGCATTATCAAAACATTTTCATTGCCTGTCCCACATCTGGGCACTGTGTCATCTTTAAAATCAATGTCTTGATAGATGTAAATGGAAGATGATCCTGCTTATGGCTCTCACATGTGTCAAGTGTTCATTTCATGAAAGGATCATGACAACAACAGGTGATCTATTGTACTTCTTGTGCCTGCCCCATACTCTAACCACCATGAGGCAGCACCTGTGTTCCAGGCACCGTAATTTCTCTGAGACCCAGCACAACTCTTGGCTCATACTTGTTACTTATGCATATTTGTTGAATAGCTAAATGAATGAACCAGCTGCAAATTAATTTCCAAATTAGTTTTCACTAGAGTATAACACCTATGTTTAAATGAGTTTCTCCTACTCATAGTATTTTACATAATTTTTACATGGTAAAAAAATAATATAGGTGCTTACTGATTAATATTTACACATTCATATCACACACATGCACACACACTTCATTTCTTTATAAATAAAACCCCTTATTCTCAAACCATTCTTTCTTAACTGCTTACGTGAAAATGCATTTTATTCTCTGAAGTTTGAGTGACTTAATGTAGATTTAACATTTATGGGGTGACTACTTTATATCAGGTACTGTCTGAGGCAGTTTCTTTGGTCATATCTTTCATCTCGTGCATGTTTCACACCTTAGAGTTTGCCCGTCCTATCCTGTACATACCAGTATAATCAACATCAACACCGGCACTATTTGAACCAGAAGCTTCCTAGTGATTCTGCCCAATGCTCCTGAGGATAACAAGCCAAGCTAAAAAGCATAGAAATCTTCTCCAAAGCACATTTTCCAGAACTTGTCTGCTTTTTCAACCAATTGTTAAATTACCTTGCTGGCTTGGCCCTTGCTTTGCATGATAAAATAACACATGGAAGCATGAAAGTGAGACCACCAGGCCTGGAGGAGAGAACTGTCAAATCACAAGGACTTTGAATTCCTGTCTCCTCCCAAACCCCCAGCCCTGGGCTGTCTTCTGGAAGTGGTGAGAATTGGCTCCTTCTCTGAATAAACTCCCAGATGGAACTTCTCATTCAGCTTCTGGGGCTGTTTTGCAATAAAACGAATGACAACTCCACAGCCTTGATTCCTCCTCCCCCTGCCCACCCTTTTCAGGGGAACGCTAGGAGGAATCATGAACTCTGGGAGCCCGAGAGGGAAGAACAAAGCCCTGTGCGTTTGCCAGCCAGGTGTTAGATGAGTGGGCTTGTCTGAAAATTCTTACTGAGAGGAAAGAAGGCATGTACCTGGGGCCTCTCCTTGGCATCTCTGCTCACCTACTGCTCTGCTGGGCTCCTAGGGCAAAGCAAAGCTAGGGGGTCTCCACAGAGAGCCTTAGGAGATGGTAAAACAAGCCAGGGGCTTCAGGACTGCCAGCTTTGCTCAGTGTGTCTCAATTCCCTCTGGCCCAGGCCAGCTGCTATTTTTCCTTTCTTTGGAGAAGAAAGCTGTCAGGTGACACTGAAAGTTAATTGTTCTCATTAGCTGAGCTTCCTGAGTGTGTGATTATTTGCAACCCAAGTATTAAAGGAATAATCTTCTGATGAGGACAGGGGCTCATTTCAGGGATCATTGTGTGACCTATTAGAGGTTGCACGCTTCAAACAACTGTTCTGTTGATGCATCATGGAAGCTTAGCAGTTAAAAGTAGTAGCAAAACTCAGGCACTGTTTTTATAGATAGTTCCCAAGAAAGCACTTGTACAGCCTGGCTGCTGTTTGGTAAAGAGCCTGTGAGTCCTTCTGGGTAATAAAACTCCATGTCAGTAGGTAAAGAAATAATGCATTTGTGTATCTTTGTTCAATTTTCAGGTAGAGCAAACAGTTGTCCAAAGTACATGCCAGAAGGAACTGTGTCAGAGATAGAGTCTATTAAGCCTGTAGGGCCACATACTTGATTGCAAAGACAACGTATTTACCCCTGAGGGCTGTTACAGTTAGGATATCCATTTATGTCTCCTGCTAAATCATGCAGAGAGCTATTTTATGTGACCACTGTTCCACAGACTGGTTTAAGTGAAGGACCAATTTAGTGGAAGAAAAGAAAATATTGATATTGGGCAGTTTTATGAGAATGTAAATCAAATCCAAGGTTTGAGATCCGAAAGAATTAAATTATTGACAGTATGAATTAACTTTGGTACATTGTTCCTCATCCAAGCTGCAAGAATAGTTCAATTCTTCTATGCTTTTTTAATTTGGCAAGAATAAAATAGATGATATTATATATAGTTTGACTTTAAATTCTCAGTTACTTACAAATTGGAATGAATGTTTAAAAACTGACTTTCAAGATTATGTTATTGGTCCGTTTATGTGGGCTGCATAACATTTATCACCATTGTGATCATACATAAATAAAAGGATAAAGGAAAAAGAAAAAGTACCAGTTAAGGAAAATGTGGTTTATTTTGACCTATCAAAGCTCTTAGGTATACTTCTTTAACTTGTTCTGGGGGGGAAAAAAAAAGCAAACTAAGAATACTTTTTCTTCAAAACTATACTTTTAATGAAAGGCTTTTCTGTTTTATTTAATGTCAAAAATACATATTTGGAAAGGATTCTGACAGAAAAAAAATGCCTCTCATGCACTCATGCATATGACTCAATGAATCAATTATAGGTAATTTGATTCTAGTGATTTACTGCTTGTGGTGGGAATGCCTCCTAACCTCAAGTTGATGATAGCCTATATTTTAATATTCCATGAGACTTACTGTTAGCATGCTGTTGTTAAGGATGTGCTATTTTGTCAATAATGAGTCTAAAAACTAGCTCTGTGAAAACATTCTTACTATAATCTGTTCCACTATCCTAGATAGGAATATAAGCACACATAGTTTAGCATAACCGAAAATAAATTTGTTATCAAGAGAAAAAGAAGATTAAAGTGTATCACTTTGCCTCTAGTTGAATGTGAGAATTATCAAGGTGATTACATGCTTATCACATTATGTTATAATTGTGTTCTTGCCAACTTCCTACCAGCTATGCTCTTTCTGAAACCAAGGAGCACATCTAGCTATCTAGTGTTGCACATGCTCTATAAATTTATATTGAAGAAATGAAGGATGAAATGAATGAACAGAAGTACCTAATATCTAGGATATTTAAATATTTTGACTGATCTTTAATGCTGTCAGTTTCAGTTATCACACTAAATGTTTATGTATTAACTGAAAAATATCACGTAATTTACCTGTCCACTTTAATTTTATCAATAGTAGCCATATTGGGTACAAAGCTTCAAGGTTATGGTGAAATTTAGTAAGTGATTTTTTGTTTTTGAAATCTGCAGGTCAAAAAGAAATCTTAGTAAATACAGATATAGAAATTATGAGTAGTTATCTAGAAAAATGCCAAATCCTTGAAAATGTCAGGACCAGAGACGTTTCATTGGTTTTACATGTGGCCCTGAGCTGGAATTGTGTCACATGGCCACTTCTAAGCCAGTCGTCGTAAGCCCCATGCATTATCAAGACTGGGCTTATTCTATTTTTCTACCCAACTATATTTAATATGTGACTTCCATTGTCAGGGTGGCTGCTAAAGCTCCAGCTATCACTTTCATATCCCAGACAGGAAAAGGAGGAAAAAGGGTGAGGCCCCTTCTTCTTAAGAGATTTTCTATAAGCCCAAGAAAATGGTCTTCTTATAAATTATTGGCCAGAAGTTTGTCACAGAGAGACAATTACAATAGGAGCTGGGAAATGTAGTTTGATGTGCCCAGTCAAAAAATAAGGGTTTGTTAGTTAAGAGGAAGGGGAAAATGGATGCTGGAATAAATAACTACCACGGTCAAATAAAAGGCATCAGTGAGACACGGGGGAGGAAAGTAGAACACACAGGAAAAAATGAGTTGTCCCTATTCTCCACCATTCAACCTATTTCTACTGCAAGTAATTTTATGCAGTGAAATAGTCCCACAGAAAAAGAATAGAAAGGAGAGGCAAAGGACAATGTAAATCAGCAAAGTGTGGAAACTGTGTACAGATAATTAAGATTGTGTTTTGTACTATATCATTTTTTAGCCTTCTTGGAGTAATTTATATATGAATGGATATTATTTTTCCAAATATGGAAATGCTGAAGTCAAGGTATGGATGATCTTTTCAGATTAACTGTCTTAATTAGCAACAAGGTCACCTTTGTAAAAAACAAAATATTACCTAGAAGGATACGCTTATTATGAAAAGAATCAGACCTCTTAGAAATAGAGGAAAGAGGCAAATGAGGAGCTAATTAGCAACAGTAAGCTGTGGGAAACTTATTGGTAAATTAGAGTCCATATGTGTAAAGTCATTATTATAATGACAATTCTTTTCTTTATTTTTTAAAGGTAGCCAACCAAGTTGTTCAAGCTCTACTCACGCAAAAGGTAGGTCACTTTCTGGCTTTATGGTTTTCAAAGTACCTATGTGAATAGTTTGGAACTCATATTGTCAAACTAGGAAATTGTGATTGATAGCTGCAATACTTTTCTATTTATTCATTTAGGTTAAAATTGTGTGTATTTTAGATGGTGTATGAAGTAATATCAATGACCAATAGAAACCTAAAATTTAAACTCTTGGTAAAGTAATAGAAAGCCTTTGAAGATAAGAGATTTCCATGTGCCCAGATGTGTACTAAACCCATCATTTTTACTTAGTAAATGTAAACATTGAATAGCTTGGGAGATCCCTCCAATTCCTATAAAATGAATAGCTTATTATAGACAGCGTTAACAGAAGCCACAATTTTAGCAAGAGATCTTTGAGGTTATGAAAGTTATTTGATTTCTCCGGGCCTTAGCTACTCTTCCGTAAAATGGGGATAACAATGCCTACCTCCCAGAACTGCTGTGGTCCTTCTGTGAAAGGAAGCATTTAGAGCAGTTCTTGTAGTGGTGGTGAATATAAAATAAAGGGCAGTATTATTGTATACTTGAAAGTTGCTGACAGTAGATCTTATTCTTACCACACACACGCGCGCCACCCACACACACACACAGGCTTAATTATGTGAGGTGATGGATGTGTTGTCTTGATATTGGTAATTATTCCACAGTGTAATGTATGTCAAATCATCACATTATACATTTTAAATACATACAATTATGTTTGTCAATTATCCCTTAATCAAGTTTGGGTGAAACTTCTGCTTCTTTGTTGTCTTCCTATTCTGACTTCAGACCATATAATATCATGTGACTGGATCAGAGTTGGTAAATACAGGTAATTGTCCACATTCAGCTGGTGAATTTTATTGTCCTTTTCCCATCTCTTTCCATAGTGTTTCTCAGAGGCTAAATTCCAGGTCTTTCACATTCTGTTTATTTTATCATTTCTCTGTGAGATGGAGACTTCCTCTGTAATAGGTAATCTTAAATCATGTGGCTTATTCAAGGAGGATGTGGCTAATGAGAGCAAAAATAACTTACAACATTTTGTTTTTTAGTTGAAAGTAATTTTATAAGGGGTTGACCACTTCTCCTGGATTTACTTAAATAAATATTATTTTAAATTTGCACTATAGAGGCATAATGATACTATTTTTGTTAGCCTTTCCCAACTACTTCTGTCAAAATATCATGCTTCCTGCTGTAAATGATTTTAACCACTTCAGGTTTTATATTAACATCATATAATGTAATGAGATGTGAGTATGCTTATGTAAAGTTAGAATTAGTTTCCATTTTGAGTAACAAAAATCCAAAATAATTGTGGCTTACGTAAGCTAAAAATGTAATTTATTTCTCACACCTAAATCTGCAGGTAAATAGTATAGGACTGGTATGGTGACATTGCTCCATAAAGTCCATGGAGTCCCTGCCATCTGCGGTTTCTATCTTGTTATTTGGTGAGATATGACCTCCATTTCCAAGGTTACTTCATGATCCACTATGACTGCTCTAGCTCCAGTCATCACAACCACATTCCAGCCAGCAGGAAGGAAAAAAAAGCTGAAGAAAATGAAATGAGTAAAAGGAACACACTAGCTGTCTTTTAAAAGGGACTTTTTCAAAAGCTTTCATAGCTCCCTACTTACATCTCCTTGAACAGACCTTAGTCACAGAGCCACGTATAAGGAAGCTGGTAATAAAGTCTTTATTCTGGGTATGTGCCCAACTGAAAATGTATTGACATAGTATTGTGGAAGAAGGGCAAAAAGAGATGTTGAAAAACAACTTACACTTTCTGTCACAACATATTTGAATGCCTTTTCTTTTTCAAATGCTTTAATTTCTCAGCAGCTTCTCTCCTACTGGAAACTCTATGCTCATTTAATTGCAAATCTAAGGACTGAGGGAAGCACTGTTGCAGCTATACGCATAACTTTTGAAAGGCGTCTCATGCCTGTCTTTTTAAATGGTGCCTCAGGAAAGAGACAAGAAAACTGTCTGGTACAATATAAAGGAAAATGGGACTCTTCAGGTCAGCCACAAAAAATAGCTACACAAAACCAAGTAAGAACTGGTAAACAGATAAATCCACCTCAGTATAGTTACACAGTGAGACGCAGAAGGACGTGTTACTGTGAGATAGCAGACCTCAGGGGCACGATCAGGCAGGACGAGATGCCAGGGCCCTCCAGGAGTCCGCAAGAATCATGTTCTGCAGACACGTGTGCTTCCCAGTTTGTATAGGGACCGTAAAATTGCTGCAGCAATGACTGAAACTTCTTTAATTAAGAGCACAATATTAGAAATAAAATGTCTCCAAAATGCAGATGAAAAAACTAATTCTGAAGAGAATGTCCTTCTTAAAGAGGCATAGAGTAAAAACAGAAAGCTTAAGTGATTTATCCAAGTCGCAAGAATAATAATTGATGTGAAATTAGAGACATAACTATTCAATTTTAGAATATATCATTTGTTAAGACACAAAGGCAAATCTGTTGTGGTTTCATCTCTTCTCTGAGCAACCAAAAAATCAGTTTTCATGGCATACTCTGAATCGGCCCAGATAAGCATCCTAAAGTAGCAGAATGTACTTCTTTTCACAGGAATAATAAAAAAAAATTATTTCCACGAACTTACCGGTTTCTGTTAAGTGTTCGTATATTGCACTAGTCAGCTAATTCAATTTATCTTAAAACTCTGTGGATTCCCTTAAGAGAGTAGCCTGGACCTCCTTTAGACCCATAATGCTAAAGTGACAATATTGAACCCAGCTCACATCCATTTATGACTCCAAATCACAGGTTCAAGTTGACAAGTGCAAGAAAAATTAGTAATCAAGCTAAACTCATATGTTTGTCTGAAATACATTTTATCTTTATTAAGTTGATGACGTTCACTAAAAATGTAACTCTCCTAGGTTCGTGTGTGTGTGTGTGTGTGTGTGTGTGTGTGTGTGTGTGTGTGTTTACCATTAACACCAAACTTGGAGCAAAAGCATTTTCCCCTGCAGCTATTTTTCTGTACATCAACAACCTCAGCCTTAGCTACATGTTCTTTAGGGTGACCAAATAGTTATATGGTGTTTTTTTCCTTCCAACATAGAATAATGCTCCTCTATATTGAGTCTGGCAATACAGCCATTCAGAGAGAAGCTGAACACAATTTTGTAGCTCGAAACTGAAAGAACTTCTAACTCCTACATGTTTCTCATGTAGAAAGGGGGCTCAGACCATCTGGGTCCACTTGTCTAGCAATGGTGTGTGTAGGATCTGGTTCCTGGAAGAGGGTCTGTTTATACAGGGCTTGACAAAAAATAGGTTTATAGTTGAATACATGAAACACAGTGTTTTCCTGTTTCATAATATTGTATTGTTTTCCACACCAACAACTGTAAACCTACTTTTGCTCACCACTGTATTTACTGTGCACTTACAAGGAGTCATACCCCCAGTCCAGCACTTTAAATGCACTGAGTCATTTTGTTTTCACTGCAGCCCTGTGAGATACGACTAAGAAAACAATTTGCCCACGGTTCTATTTGTCAGAAGTAGCAAAGCCTATCCTTTCACCTAAAGTAACTGCACTCAAATTCCATGCTCTTGTCCTCTGCACCATCCAGCCTAATGATCCCTTTCAATCACTTTTTGTTTGTCCCACTGTAGTTCAGCAAGCAGAGGAGATGTTAGGAAATTAACAGATTGATTGAAATCCAATCATTAGTTATGATTGCAGGAAATAAAACAAAAGAGCAAAGTAGCCAATACATTTCTTAGAACTTCTGGAAACTGCCAGAACTGACTAGCAAGAACATTCAGGATTTGCCATCTATGGAGTCAGAACTGACTCTATAAATTTGGAGTCAGGCTTTCTTAACATCAATCTTAATTTGGACCATAGAATTTCACAATTTCCAGGGACTTTAGAGATCATTTAATCCTGAGACTGTCAAGTAGTCTAGTAATGGGTTCAGTGTACACTTATTACATGAACTGTTTAGCCATCATCCAGGCTTAAACTGTTTTAATCCAAATGTCTTTAGGATGAAGCTCATCCTATTCAGTTTGCCACAAAACTCAACACTTCCCACTGATGAGAGCTGGCCTGATTTCGTCACACATTTAGTGGCCTGCCTAGCCTTTTAATGGCATTTGACGTTGAGGTCCTTGGTTAGTCTACCATGCAGCCAGCCTTTTCCAGAAATGGCTTTTCCTCTTACAGAAGTCTTAGAATCCTTGAAAGAGAAAGGAATGTACCAATGACAGCCACTTAGAAGAGAGAGGCTGGTGGGAGTGGTGTCCATTAAGTTTCAGGAAGTGATTAAGGTGACATTTCACAAGCTACCTCATGAAGCTGCTGGGACAGTCCTCCTCCCAAAAGCCTGGTTTTATGCAGGAGCTCAGTCTACAGATGAGGAAACTGAGGCCCAACCAGCATAAGTTATTCCTTCAAGGTCGTGTGGGCCCAGAGTGCAGGCTCCTTACCTCCCAATCTGATGTATTACCATGATAAACACTGCATCTGGAATATCTACACAATGGTAGTATCCTTTTTATACGAAAAATTGGATTTAAATAGTTTTCAACAATGTTCTAATGATGTCAGTAAATATCCTGCTTCTAAGCAATCAGCATTTTCTCTAATTTACTTTGGCAGGGATTCAAGTAATGGTTTTGCTCTAAGTGCATGAAGTAACTGTACTCCACAAGTACTGAATAGCAGGGAATCCAGGGCAGGTGAAACTTCCAATGTGTGGATGGTCCAGGGAAGTTAGGATTTGAGATTATGAAGATTTACAGAGCCCTTTTTGATCAGTGTCTGGCATTGCCCGGTATACTTTTGCCCTCACACTCAGCTGTGGTTCCTTATTCTCAGTATCCAAATGCTAGTGACATACCGATTGCTAGGAAAACAGGTCTAGCTATTTTCTTGAACCCAAAGGCCATTATACTTTCTTACATGGGATGAAATTAAGTCAAATGTTTGGCATTATTTTCCACTGATAAAATTATGTATTATGTCTTTTTTTTTTTTTTTTTTTTACATTTCAGAAAACACAACTCTATATTTTCAATGGGAGCCTCCACTTGAGGCCCTCGACATGCCAGGAGTCATAGAAAAAGGAGGGCTGTGGGAGAGGACAGATAGTCCAGCGCCCGCTGTCAGCCACAATACCAGACAATAGCATCTAAATAGAGGAGAGTTATTTTATTTCTAGAGCTTTACTTGGGAGGAATACTCTCACTCGTGCCCCTGTCACTGATAGGGTCAGCCCAGTAGCTCTTGTACCAGCCTTCAACACGTCATACGCTCCTTAATGTCAGCTCCCACTGTGGACACAGATGAAGCAAAGACAGCCAGCTGCCACTCTGCCCAGGTCTCACTGTAGTAGTCAGAGAAATTGTTCTTTCTCTTTCTCTCTTTCCACCTCTGTGGTCCAGTTCTGATTATATATGTGCACGTGGGCACACATACATGGTTTTGGTTATAGTTTCCTGTGAAGCTGATTGGCATCAGCTACTCTCTACAGCATGGTGGAAGAGAACAAGGATATTTAAAAGAACAACACAAGCAATTCTTCTATGTCTATGATTTTTCAGTCCAGCTCAAGTCTGTCTGTCAGTTGATTGTAAGACCAGTGTCACATTCCTAAAGCTTCCACTTCCCCTCTGCCCTGTGCTGGTTTAGTTGAGCCAAGGGTGACAGGCAGTCCTCTAGGTCAATAAGCTATGTCCCTGCTAATGAACTTTTACCACCTCTAGTAATGGCCATTGAAATTGGCACTTATATAAAACTCTCTATAGTGTATATTGATTTTTTTTCTTCCTTCTTTTTATTTTTTACTCTTCTGAAGAACTCTTTTCAAGTTATTCTCAGTTTTGCTGCTGGAAATTGCTAGTGGTATTCCTTACATGTCTCTTTTCTCCTTGCGAATCCACACTCATTTGCTCCTGTTCCCATATCTTCACCTGCAAATGAGAATAAGTGTTTTTTTTCCCACCCAACTGGTACTATTAATATTTATTTACCTCAAAGTCAAGTTTTATTAATTACTTAATTAGCAGTAGTAAAAACGATTAGTGTTTGGGAGCTGGACGTGTTATATACATGCTAATTACAAACATTAGCACTAATGAGACACAGACAGAGGTTGAATTCTAAACGAAGAAAATAAATTTAGCTTTTTCATTTGAACCGTCCCTAGGCACCCAAAATGGCCTCTGTCAAACGGCGTGTGTGCTCCTGTGCACGTGCGCTCACACTCCCGACGCTGCCCTTAATGTCCACTGCCCTCCTCCTAGATCTTGCACCCAGGAGCCTCAGGAGCCTCCTTCTGAATGTGACATTTCTTTTCTCCACTTGGCGATCCGTTGAAAACATTCCATGTGTTAGGTTCACCCATTTAACTAAAAAGGTGAAGAGAGTGGAAGCTGTGCAGTGAGCCACACCTTGGCCTGTTTCCTTGTCTCCTCCCCCTTAACTCCCTATAAACACAACAAATAAGCGTGGATCTGATGTGACTCCTCAGACAGAGCCTCAGAAGCTGTTTCTCTCCAGATTTGAGCTTAGATTGACACAAGTTTATGGAATGGGCCCACTCATGTTTGTGGCCCCTGTCTAGGCCCTGGGGGTCAGAACTGTTAGCTGGTGCTCTCTCTTGCTTACAGAGCATTAAGTAAAGCCTGTAGCTGCCCTGTGTCAGAATACTTAGATGGACAAAGTAGAAGCGTTGAGAAACTTTAGCTCTCTTTATGATACCATCACTAGAGAATAGAATTCATCATCATCATTCCCTTTAACAAAGTAATCGTAGACCTTAAAGTTTATTAAGGTCCTATTATATGTGATGCAGTGCTACAGGATAGAATAAGAGTGTAAAAATAATATGCTTGTGCTGTTGTTTATGTGCATATCTTCTTATGCTTGCTTTTTGAGGAATGTGCCATCTAATGGGCAAGATAAGTCTAGACTATAAAACAGAAAATGAATTCAAAGTGGCATAAGCTAAATATCATATAAAAGGCATGGAGGGCTCACTGGAGTTCTGAAAAGAGAGTAGTCTTTGAGGGATACCAGATAAAAGTGTCGGAGAGGAGCTAGATAAAATTAGAATTGGATGTCAATCAGAGAGCCAGACTTGAACCAAGAAAGAGGTGGATGACATGGGAAAGTGATTGTGGCAGAGGAACGAGGGCGGTGGGAATGCGGGAGCTTTGGAGAATGACAAGCAGGCCTATGTTCTTTGCCTGGTGAGAGCAGAAGCCTTTTTTTAAAAATCATGAAATGATAAAAGGTAAAATTCAAAATATAGAAAGGAGTCAGCTTTTGATGAACATTAAATTGGGGAGTTATTCTAGTCTTTATTGAACCCTATCAAAGAAGGTGTGTAGATATTTACATACTGTAAGTATCTTTATTGCAAGCCAGTTTGGAAGGCCATTCCTTGGTGGGGTTCCAGAGAATCCTAATGCTCTGTGTGTCAGCTGCCCTCATGAAAGCTGGGGAACGTCTCTATGGTGTTTGGACTATTCAGGAGAACTGTGCCCAAAGGATGACAGGGTACAGTTACTGTACTGCTCCAGTATGAAGACCAAAATGCCCCAAAAGATTTAGAGATCCGGTAGTTCAGAAGGCTGAGCAAGTTTCACTTTTAAAGGCTTCACTCCTGCTAAATGCCTCACTGACTCTATTAGCCATGGTGCTGAGAATTTCAACTCTTTCTGCAAATGACAAGGAAAGGCTCCATCAAAACTGATAGTTTCTTTAGTTCATCAAATCTCTATTCACTGCAAAAATATTATTGTCCTTGTGGTTTGTGCTTTGTGATTGCTTTTATGAAGACAATGAAAACGCAAAATATATAGGTAGAAACTTAAATTGACTTTATATCACTAAGATTTACCATCTTCAAAAATAGCAGGCTAGATTAATGCATTTCTGATTTCAACGTGCTTGAGGGGAAAAAAAAAGAAAGAAAGAAAGAAAGGTCTTTCCTGCACACAATAATTTTGTGAGACAATGAGCTGTGGAAGAAAACAATGTGTGTGATTTATTTCTGGGGGCTCTGAAGAACAGAAATATTATTTTTTTACTTATATGTCTGAAATACCAGATAAAATACGTTTATAATATGCTAAGGTATCTTTAAGTTATAGATTTTTTTCTTTCACTGTGTTTGTTGTAGGATCTAAGGGAGGAGTGCGTAAAGTTGAAAACAAGAGTGTTTGATTTGGAACAACAGAATCGAACGTTAAGTATTCTATTCCAACAGCGGCTCAGACCAACTTCTGATCTGCTTCTGCAGGTATGTGGTTTTGTGGAAAACAGTCTTTGCCACTGAAATGCTATTGACAAGAAGTTACTTAAGTTAAAAAATTATGAATATCTCCGTGGACAAGGCATATTATATCAGGACCTTTATTCTTTCCCTGCTCAAGGGATGTCATTAAAATTGAACATCTCCAAAATTTCTGCCTTTTTAAAGCTGCATTTAGATTATAGAAATATGCCTCAACAAATAATAAATAGCAAAAGAGACAATCAAAAGGTGTCTGCTAGTAAACTAAGCAAAATCATGGAATGAAGTCAGGAAATAATTGAATACTTGGAGGACTAGAATTAGTAATTTTTTATTCCATAATAAGAAAGGAAAAGTTTGTGTAATTCCTGGGGTTTGTTTTTCTCCTCTCTCTCCCCCTGCCCCCATTCCTCCTCATAGCACAGTACTTTCTATGATCTGCTCAGTGTTTTACAGGATTTCTTCGTCTAAATGCTTCCACCGAATTCTTTCTTTACTTGCCTTTATAGCATGCAAAGTCACAAAGTCATAGAAAGTCAAACTATCAGCTGATCCTGACTAAGTTCTCAAGAATATATCCATCTGCAGGAAAACACATGAATTAGCAAAGGGGGTTGGATGGCTGATCTTTGCTGTTTTCTATGTTTTAAAATCCTATCAATGTGCATATTTGCTCCAACAAGTTTTGCTCAGAGCATCCAGAGGCTCAGCTTGCAAAGGGTATATGAGGTTTCACAGGGGCAATGTACCATTAATTAAAGAGAATAACCCCCAGCTGCCTGGAATAATTGATTGAGAAAAAGGGAAAAGACTGAGGTATCCTCTAAACAACGCTGCTCACCAATGTAGCCTCTAGCCGCTGGCACTATTGAAATTGAAAATTAGGTCAAACTAAAATGAAGTTCCTTTGTCTAAGTAGGAACAAGTGTTGAAAAGCCACATACAGTAGGCGTCTGTTGTATTAGACAGTGTATATATAGAACATTTCCATCATCTTAGAAAGTTCTACACCACAGCATTTTTCCAGGTAGTTGAGATAATGTTGCTAACTTATCCACTGAACTTTGGCATAAACATCTTTCCCTGAATCCTCAGAGAAATAATGAAAAATTGCAGTTCATTTCAGAGAAAGAAAGATGTTTGGTAAAGCTGAACATCAAAATGTAATCCCTCAAAATTAAAATAAAACAGCTCTCTGAATTGTAAAATAGATCTCATCTCTTAAGTTAATTTCCTCTCTACTTTATCTGTTAGAGCATAATTCATAATTTATGACTCAAAAATTGTGTGGAAAAAAAATCTTCTATCTCTATTCTGTTTCCTAGTCCCAGCCCCAATAAATGTTGGTCATAGAGAATCTTGCATCTATAAAAGTTGTATTTATTTTCCTCTCTAATATCAAGATCAATATTATAATTTTAACAGCTGTTGCATGTTCATGCATTTTTCTGTTTTCCCTGTTTTAACTTGAGGCTTTTCTGGAACAATGTTTAAGGATCTGTGTACTCTCTGTTTATGAATGATGATGATTTGTTTCCACAGTAAAGATATGTGCCATAGATACTTAAGCTTTTTCATTGGCCATCACAAATTTCTTAAATCAATATCCAAATGGCAGGGAATGGTGTATATGCTCACAATAGAACTCACTGTTTATTAATAGGATGTGTTCAGCCAACACACACCCAAGAGCGATTTTAGTGTAAATAGTACTTGAAAAGGATAGGCTGCTAATAGCTCTGTGAAGGAGAGTGATAGAAAGTGTGATGCCTACCCTCTCACACCTTACAGCTCACAATTAGACAAGTTACTGGCTTTTCAGGTGGTCTGTCTATTATTTGACTCATGCTTTTTCACTTCCTGGTGGCACAAATACATCTGGAGTATTGGCTAAAGGAAAAGTAGTCTGAGCTTGTTGTGCATCTATGGCAATTCTATAATCGCTTGTCAAATGGAATAATGAGTAAATTACATAAATTCATTCTGCAAATCGGGGAGTTATTCTGCATACACCTGAGAGAATGTTATGCCTCCATCTCTTCTTCTGAACTTCCATCTAATGTGGATGTTTTGGAACTGGGCAGCCATGTCAGATCAACCCAGTCTGTTTGAGGGTGTGGCTGGCGGATGTCGCAAATCCACCTCGGTGCCTGGTCCCAAATATTATAGAATGTATAGCTTCTGCCCATGCACTGGAGAGTCAGGACAGGGGTTGCCAAGTAGTTTTCTGCAAATCTTAGGGAACTGCCTTAGTTATCCTCTGCTGAATACAGCCTGATGGTTCTCCATAATATAAAGTGGCTACCTACAGAGAAATATAGAAAGGCAACTATTGAACCAACCCATTGCGTTTTTTAGTAGATACACTGTAAATAGTGGGAAAGAAAATAGTTTATAAGAAACAGTCAATTCTTTGTCCCTCAAAAATAGAAAATAAAAGATTACATGGGTATTATTAAGCAACTTCTTGTTTAGGAAAAACATAAAAGGAATAGTTCTAGGATTAGTTGACAGATTCTGGGAAACTTACAAAGGTAATCAACCAGTTCAATGATGGGAAAGAAAAAAAACCTAACTTGAATATTAAAATCTTAAGAATGGCAATAAATTTCTCTATTGATTCCAATTTCCAGGATGATATCTCTGGGACTCTGTGTAGTCACAAATAAGATTAAGATGGCCCTCTATATGAAAATCAGCAACTTGATCTGAATTCTAAAGAATTGAGAAACCAGAATTGCAAATGGAATCTAAAAGTAATGGTCTTAATGGAAACGGGGTCTCTAACTAAACTTATTACAACTACTGGCCAGATTAACCGATGCTCACTGTTTCCTCTTATAAAGCATATATTAAACACTCAATTTACTGAACATGGGCAACTAACAGATAATAAGAGATAATACATAGAGCAGACGACAGTTCTATACTAAGTATGCTTACTTCTCTTACAAGTTGATTTGAATGCTCACTATGAATGAACTGTGTTTGTAACTCAGTATGCTTATGCCAATAGTACATATCAGGGCAATTATGTAATTATAACTGCTATATAAACCAATGATATATGGTGAAAAATAATTGTTTCTATAAAATAAGGTTGAGGGCTTCGAAAGCATCTAGAAAGGCAAGTCACTAAAAAGAATGTTTATGATCAAATAAAATATAGGTGTCTAACTAAAAAATTTATAGGAAGCAGGGAATTGTGTAAAGTTTGGAGACATTCTGCATGCAAATTGCTTCTTAAGTGCCTTGAAATTCTTGTCCCGCTGTTAAGAAAAACAAAAACTAGAAATCATACACAATGCATAAAACATTTATGTATTGATGCCAGAAAACAAACAAACAAACATTGGAGAACACTAATATTAGTATCCCTAAGCAAAGAAACTTATTTGGCCCTACCTAAAATGTTATTTAACAAATACATTGTGCTTATCATGTATCAGGTGCTACTCTATAATCTATACAGCGTTCACCAATTTAATCTCCATTACAATCCTAGAGTAGAAACTATCACATTTTGCAAGTGGGGATACAGACACAAAGAGGCTAAGTCACTAGCTGGTAACTGACAGGGCGGGGATTGGAGTCCACAGTAAGACTTGAGTTCCTTCCTTTTACCTCCTTTCTCCGTGCCCTCTGCATGAAACACAAATGGACATGAGGGACATTCTTCCAGTTCCTACTCTGACACTTTGATTAACTGGCACACCCGTGATTGAGTCGTGGGTCAGAGGGCTTCTGCAGTGCAATAGTAATAAGGAGCCTACCATTTTCACGCCTTTCTGAAAGGCTCTTGATTTGTGGCATCCAAGAATTTCCCCTCTCCTGCTTTTCTGTTGTTTTGGATACCTGTGTTATCATCTTGAAAGGACATCAGTCTCATATTTTCTGCCTAATGCAGTTTTTTCCTTTTTATCTGATATTTCAAAGATTCCCAGTACCCATATCCTTAGGCCAAGATAAAAAGAAAAGAATGTTATAATTTAGATTATTCACACAGTTGAAAATCTTGACAGCTTAGAACCAAAGTGTAAAAATTTGCTGTCACTTCTTAGAGTGCTGACTTTTTGCTAGTGCTTTTTTTTTGTTGTTGTTGTTATTTTAGATGAGCTGAGAGGATTTTAGAATTCTACGTGGGCTTCTGATATTTTTCCCCTACATTAAATCTCTATTTTCAGAGTATAAATCTATTCAAGAGTCTTATTTGGTAGGACACCACATTAGACTCTCACTTGTCCACCTGTTCACAAGCATGAACCCTGTTTTCTGAGAAACCACCCAATGCTGTTGCCCCCCCCCAGGAGCCTTCCGCCGCCAGGGTGGTTCTCCCTTCATGTCTGTGCTGGAGCTCCTCTCGCATTGACGACCGAAGCCACACAATGCAAGCAGCTCATGGTCCAGTATGGAATCGTAATCTTCATCTCTTATAGTGGATATCATGCAGTGTGACCCCAGTCACTAGGGGTTTCATGTTAACTTTAGTAGTAATCTCCATGAAGGCAAGAATTTTGTGAATGGGACATTTTACCCCTCCACAGATATAATCCCTGTTCATGATACATACTCAGCATGTTGTTGGGTTAATACTTACATATATGCATTTTTAACTTAATTTTGTGTGTTGTGTGTGTATATTTCCTTTCCTCTGTTTATCTGTTTGATTTTGTATGCAACAATCTCATTGCCCTTATGCTTTTTCTTCCAGTTTTATTGAGATATAATTGACATGTAACACTGTGTCTATTTAAGATAGAAAACACAATGATTTGATATCTGTATACATTGCAAAATAATCACCACAGTAAGTCTAGTGAAGTCTAAACTAACATAGTAAGTTTAGCACCTTGCAGAGTTGCTATTTTTTTCTTGTGACGAGAACTTTAAGATCTACTCTTCTAGCAGATTTCAAATATACAACACAATATTGTTAGCTATAGTTGCCATGATTTCCAGAACTAATTTATCTTAAAAATGGAAATTTGTACCTATAATCCACTTGG